AACAAATAGTGCAAATGACGTCATCGCCTATTGATGAAATCGGCGCTATTAGACACAACTGCACTTAAATGTTCCTGTAAACTTCCAAAACAGTGTTCAAAAATGGAATTATTTGTAAGCTTTTCCTCCAGCATACATGGTTTAACTGGATTTAGGGCTGCAAAAATCTTAATGAGTAGCAAAGAATTAGACTAAATGTAGCCCCTAGAAAAGACATTCACATTTCTTTAGATAATTTAAAGCTTGACATTTCTAATATTGTTAAACCGCAGTAGGCACAATGTTCCCCTAACTTAATTTCATTTTTAGTGAATTCATCAATACAAAAAAAGGTTTATTTATATAAAAAATAAAGCTAAATTTACAATCAAATCTAAAAATAGTAGGCCCTAATATTCAATAACCTATAAAGGGATTAATCAAATGATTCGAATCAAAGTCGTGACAATGACATAACTTTTGTATACTAATTATATTTTGACAATATGAAAATTAATTAATAATGACATGTTTTTTTTTATATTTTTTTTTTATTTGCCATCTAACGTTTCTTTAGTACGTAGTATTTTTTCTAAGAGGAAGGGGGGCGCTGACGGACTTTTTTTAAAAGAAAATAATACGAAAATGGGGCGGTAGTGTACACGATATCCAGATTTACTTCTGCTACGACAGTGCCTCATCTTTAAAAAAAAAAAAAACGGCCAACACAAACTTAAAAAACAAAAAAAAGTAAAACTTAAAAAAAAATTTTTTTTTAAGAAAAAAAGAGATTAAATGTACCATATGCCTTTCTGTATCCTAGCAGTAATTAGAGCATATTCATTTAAGCCTTCAAAGGAATAAGCAACGCAGTACAAATGGTCGGGATGGCTGCCTGGTCGTGCGGTTTGCGCGCTGGACTGTCGTTCGGATTTATCGACGGTCGAGGGTTCAAACCCTGCCCGCTCCCATCCCCCGTCTTCGTGCGGGAGGCTTGGGCTAGGAAGTAAACTATCTTCAACTCTGAAGGAACATCCGAAATATGTAAAACAAACATTTACAAAATCTTGCCAAGGTTCTCCAGGTAATTAAATCCGACCTGTAATTATGAAGATACTCTAGGATAGGATAGATTTTTGCGATAAAAAAATGGAACGATTAGATCTAGAAGAAGAAATTAACTCACCTATGAAGCCGAAGCCGATTCTCAATAAGTGCGTAATTTTCATTTATTTTATTTTTTTCCTTTTTTTAAAAAAAATAATATTTGAATTCTAAAGTCTTACTTTGTCATAAAAAGGAAAAAAAAAAAGTAATGGCAGCGGTGGGATTTGAACCCACGCCTCCGAAGAGACTGGTGCCTTAAACCAGCGCCTTAGACCGCTCGGCCACGCTACCTTGGCAAATTTGCAAGTTTTAAAATAAATATTCTAAAGCTGTTTTATTGTTCCATTTACAAAGTTCATTTTTAAGATGAAGATCTAGTTTTAGCAGAGACGTTTCGCGCATCGGTATTAAAATAATCAAGCTTTATTCTTATTATCAAAATGTATAGAATAATAGAGAAATAAAGTTAGACCTCTAGATTTATGCATTTTTACATGTTTAATTCATGAGAAATTTAAGCAGGCTAGTTTTAGAACTTTAATCTAGATCTAGAATTTTTTTTTAAACCAAAAAGGTTTGCAGTCCACGGTCCCGGGTAGATCTTGTTGATGTCCAAGGGCTGAGCTAAGTTTGAAAAAAAAACCTGTTTGGACGCCAAACAGTAAAAAAAAAAAACAACCTGTGTGAACGCACAGTTCTGTTTGAGAGAGACCCGAGTCAATGGCTATGTAAAGCATTGCTATTTCCGATGCCTTTGGCCCCCGACGCATGCTTGGCTGCACATGGCCGAAGGCCGAGGACACCAGGAGCCTCCGCCATTTTCCTTCGTTATACCAAGCTAACCGTGGGGGACTCGCCATTCTGTGTAACGGTCCCTTGAGGAACAGCGCATGGATGTGTGACAGGTTAGTGGGGACTCTTTTGCAAGCCCGCCCGTGCAATGAGTGGACTCTCGTCTACCCGTGGGCATCCCCAAGGGAGTCTTGTGTTGCTACCCATTTAGCCTAACCACTTCCTCTAATGGTCGTTTCCACACGGGCGCCACGATGAGGCAGGGTAGCGTGCCCGCGCCGGGTAGATCTAGATTATTCGATTATTCTAGATCTACATGTAGTAGAATCTAGATTACTTCTATATAAATATTAATCTAGCTAGAAACTCTAGTCTAGATGAAGGAAATGTAACAATGTGTCAGTCAAATGATATACTTGAATATTTTAGGGATTTTTCTTCTTGGAAAAAGAACGTCAGTACTGCCTGGTTCTGATGCTTGCTAATCGATCGAGATGATTTAATCAATAACAAAAAACTTTTTTTTTTGTCGACTATTTTAAACTTATTCTATAGAAATGAAATAGAAATTTGTTACTTAATTTAATGTTTTGTTGAAAAAAAGTCCGAAATTGGAATATCAAAAAAAGACGTATGAAGAATTCATCTGGATTAAAATATTGGAAAACAAGGGAATTCGGCTACAAAAGCAATTGACAAGGAAAAGAATGATTGTAAGCACCTTTGTATTTTGTTTGACAACACACCTGACATAGCACACACCTAACATAAGATTAGATGGGAGACCAAAAAAAGGCTGATGAGAACAATTTAATATCTTTATATGTCTCGAGCAATGTCTAGATGCATGGAGAAAAGGAAATTATTAAGAACTAACAGAAAAGTTATTTAATAGATGTGTATAACATTCACACAATCTATGTGGTCAACATTCTTTTTCGAAAAATGCTTTTTGCCTAGCATTTTTGTTGGTACAATTGAAAGACATTTTTCATTCTGAAATTATTGCCACTAGAGGTGCAGCTCAAATTTTACTTTGCCTATCTTTATTTTTTTTTGGGGGGGGGGGGGGGGGGGGGGAATGTACTAGAAAGCCAAAGATACACAAGAGTAGGCCTATCTTTTCAACTATTGACAAAGTGGTGACTAATTGAACCTTTTCCTTAACAAAAGCAGAACGTGTTATAAAAAAAAAAGGCTCTTCTAAAAAACGAAAAAGGAACGCGATTCAGAAGAAAACAAATAAAAACCAGAAGAAAATGTCAGGCGAGCGATCAACAAGATGCCGGACTCACTATTTAAGAAGACAAAAAGAGGTTCATTCTTATGTGCTTAGATCGTAACGCTGAGCTTCTTGCTCCTACTGGAAGCAATCATTTATGTAGGAGATACATTTGAAGCAATTCAACCAGAAATTCTTTAGTTCAAGAACCAACAAAGTATTGTAGATGTCAGTTTCAAAATATTGTATATGATGATTTTTCAAAAGGCGATATTCTAACTGAAATAGGTACCGTGACTGATAAAAGATTTAAAAAATCAAAAGTTATTCTTAAAAATAAAAATTGACATTGCATTATTTATATGCCACCAAGACCTTAAAAAATATCTTTGAATCATTTAAATTCAGGCATCAACCGTTTCTTGTCTGCTGCATATGTTTGGCGTCATGTGAAAAAGGATTTTTAAATTAAAATTAAAGACCTTTTGAGACAAAGGAACAGGCGACACTTTCACAACGGTCAATTTAATTAAAAATGAGATGGTTAAAGATATTAACTTGGATCAAGTTGATGAAAAGTGTTCAAGTTTGAAGTCCAGAAAAAAAAAAACAGCAGCGTAATTTACTTATAGTTGCATTGTTGTAAAATTGAAGCGTAATTTACTTATAGTTGCATTTTTGTAAAATTGAACTATAGATTAATGGTAATGTCTTCCATTTTTAAGATTAAGGATGAGTGCAGAGTTTCACATGACTACGCAAATCCATTAAATTATAAATACAATTATAAAAAACAATTCTAAAATTTAATAGACAGTGTTCAACTATCAAAAAAACGTAGGTCGTTATAAAATGTATGTATTACGGCTCAACAAAAAAAAAGGGGAAAAAAATTTAAAGGGGCAGGTGCGGAGGTGACACCACGACCCATCATATGAAATACAATTTATGGTCTGTACTGTATAGAAATGCTTGGGCCGATTTTGACACCCACTCCGCCCCTGACTTGATCTCTAAGGGGCTCAACATAGGATTGCCCCCCCCCCCCCCCCTTTTAGTTGTGCATTCCTTGTGGGAACTCCCCAGTTTTTGTCCATCTCATTGCTAAGTACCCAATAAAATAGTCCTTTAAGAAGTCGGCTATCAAAACAAACGAATCATATGCCCAGCCAATCGTAGTTGAGTCATTTCACAGCCTGGTGTGTATAATCAAACCATTCCGTTAACTATATAAAGAAATCTACAATGACATCAATTTGAAAAACCTTTCTCCCCAACGACTAAACAACACATGTGTATCAAATTCTTCTGTACAATAAATAGAACAACAGTTTCTTTTAGTTTCATTATTAATTTTTTTGTAAAAAGGGTTCCTGTATAATCTAAGGTTATGACGTCAGTAGAGTTAATAATTTAGTTTGACCATCGCCTTGGAGTAATAAAACTTCTTAAAGTTAAGTGTTCGGCTTAAGATCAGCCCAACAATCTACATGTACTAACATGTACATTCACTGTGAGCCTATGTTGCGTATTATCTTTAGTACTTCCACATGAAATATAGGTCTCCCACAGTGAAGCCTATGTCGTGTATTAACATATCTTCAGTACTTCCAATGCAAAGCCTTCGTTATGTATTAACATCCTTAGTACTTCCACTGAGAAGCATTTGTGGTGTACTAACATCTTCAGTACATAAGTTGCAATGTTTTTTTTAATTTCCCATAAACAACCCTCCTACTAATATTGCATATATACATGCTCATAGGTGCCACATTATTAAAAGAAAGCAATGCAGCCTCAAGCTCTACAGTCCATACTGGTATTCAATAGTCACTTTAAAAAAAAAAAAGATGTGCATGCAACTAAAAACAAGAATAAAACAACACCAAGTTTAGGTTGTTTTTTTTTTAAACTTTTTTTTTTCTTCTTCAAGAATTTGTGGGTGTAACTTTATTTTATCCAAAACAAAAAACAATTTCATTTGTTCTAAAAAGAATGTTACATTTGTATCCCTCTAAGCTGAAAACGAAACAAAAAAGAACATCTGACAAATGTCAACCCAAACATTGACAAGTGCTTCTAATATCAATCTTCCAGGCAGCTGACCAAGAGGACCAGATTCTTTAGCCACAACACTCAAAGCAGAAAAGTAGACATTGTTTTCCTCTTGGTAAACTGCCTGATAAATTAACTTTATGTAGTCACCATTATAACCCCAACACTTGTTTGGTCTTAATTCTTTTGAAGGTAATATTTTCCATTATCAACCCCCTCCCACCCCCTTTTTTTTCTCCTCTCACCCTAGAGGATGGCTTATAGTTTTAGTGTTTCAGAGAACTGACCTGACACTGTTGAAGGATCAATAGCATGTGGTGATGAAATGATCATGAACATGATAATTGTAGACATACCCACAGAGCTATTCTGAAACAAATGTTTTAAACAAGCAAACACACATTTATTTATTTTTTTTTTTAAAGACTTTAGGATGGAACACACACCCCCCCTTCACTAGTTCTAGAACAAAGTAAAAAAAAAAAAAAAAAAAAAAAAAAAAAAAAGCTACATATTTAAAAATTTCAGCAGTCTATACTATTTCCTGCGAGCCCTTGGGTAAGCTAGGGGGAAAAAAGTTCATGTATTTAAAGAGGAAGATTTGGTCTGAGGAAGAAGATGATAAGATGAGATAATCTGCATTCATAAATACTTCTTATCACATATGGAGGACTGGTCCCGTTGTACTGTGAACAATGTCAAACAGATCAAATTCACTCACTCACTTTTCTTTGACAACAGACAATTTCATGGCTGCAGTCTGAATATCAGATCATTCTTCTTCTTTTGTGGAGAAATTTGATCGTTTTGAAATTCTACACATTTTAGTCTAAATTTCTGAAACACGTCAAGTAGGAATTTTAAATATTGCTTTTGGCAAATTTTAAAATCTGCTTTTTTGGGACCAGTCTGGGGCTCAATCTATTGTTGCACACCAAGCCAGGGATAAAACTTCACACTTATAGTACAACTCAAGTGTATATCAACCCATGCTATAGCTGCTCTCATTTAGTCCAAGCAAATATCCTGATCCAAAAACATGTTAATACATCCATTCACATTTAAACACAGTCATACACATAGCATTAACAAAGTTGACCAGATTGTACATAAATACACTAACTCATTATACCTAGGTGGCATCAACACTCAAATTCAAGGATGAAAATGTTGCCACACAAATTAAAAGCTTCTAGACCAAAATGGATATCAGTCTTAAGAAGACCCACTCAGACATGTTAATTTGTTTTTTACATAGCATTCATAAAATCCATTATTTGAAACATTTTTTACAAGGCCAGCAGATTCATTTTGTATGTGTCCAGTTTAAACCAGAGAGATCTTTTTATTTCACTATAAATCCACACTTGCCCACTACCTTTGAATCATTACACTACCAGACAGCAACAATTTGGGTCTTGAGAGGCACTGTTTTATGGTAAGCACCCCCCCCCCATTCACTTTTAAGTGCAGTGCCAAATACCAACTATGCAGCATGACATAGCCTCCTCCACATGAATGCTGCTGCGATGCATGTACAATTTCTACAATGTAATGCAACACCCTCGGAAATATACATTGCAACCTTGTGATCAATTTACAAGTATATCACAAAAATTTGCAGTTTATAAATAAATGTGTATAAAATGTCTTTATCTTCGGTCGCTGAACTCATTTATCAATTAATATAGTTCATCTCTCTCTGTTTTTTTTTTATATCACAAAATGTATGTGATTAGCCTTTTGCTTATCTCCTGGCTGAACCTTACTCCATGTAGTAATAATAATATAAAGCATTGCTCACCTGAATCGTACATACAGAATAAAAATTGTCAATAATCTTTTAAGATGTACTCTCTACTGATATATTCACACATTTATATCACTTGAACACACATTAGACAAAAAAAAACAAATTTGCACTGGATTCTATAGTTTTGCAGCCTCAAAAAAAAATATCTTCTAAGGCCACTAAATAAAAAAAAAAAAAGATCAAATAAAATCCAATGGAACAGTGAAATATGATTGGGCAACATCACATTCACTAATGGTTCAATACTAGGAAAATTATAAAGCAATGAACCAATTCCTGACGGTGCAAACACTCACAGATGCAAACAATAATTTGCATATATTAAGTTTTCTTTTTTAACAACCAACCTTTACAAACCTATCTGCACACACAGCAATTCAATATCAGCAATTCATAAAATTACATTGCGCAAAGGAAGGAGAGTGAATCTCATTGTTTGTAGGTCACCTGTCATACACAATGGTATGCATCAAGACTGAAGGTGTAACAAAAGCTAGTAAGGTGCTCAACCCTGATAGGGCACTTCAGGCGCCCTACAAAAAACAAAGCCTTTCAACCTAAGATGTGACATGCCAAATTCAGCAATGTCAACACAGCCTTAACATATTAGGATTTTCTTGGAAGTATAAACTTACAAAAAAGTTGGGTTTTTTTTCCCATCTTCTAAGTTCTACACCAGATGATGTCTGCTGTAATTTGAAAGTTAAAATGAAAATTGAAATTAAGAAAGTCCATTAGCTTTCGTGAGTTCAAAATAGTCACCAACCAAGAAACAGATAATACATTCCTAGGCTTGCAGGTAAAACCTTTAGTTAAAGATCCAAACAAAGCCGTGCTTATCAAACATTTGATTAAGATCAGCCTCCAAAAGTCTGAAATAAACAGTCCCACAAGAAATGAGCACAGCTGATGTCACAGAATAAATCCTCCAGGTTAAATAGAATATATCTGTAAGTTCAACATATTTTGAATTTCACTAACTTGAAGTTTCTGATCCACAATTTTCACAACTTTAAGTTACTGAAAAAAAAAAAAAAAAGAACTGTTTTGTCTTTATTGCCTTAAATCTATTAAGAGCACAAACATAATGGCGCCTCTGTGCTTCTGTACAACCTTTGCTGTAGACAAATGCTGATGCACAGATGCCAAACACATGAGCCAGTTTGAGCATGAGCGTTTCAACTCTGTGCTAAAGATGACGAGAAAAAAACATTCACTTTCCCTACATTCACTCCTTGATACTGCATGAGTCTATGTCCACATTCATCCTTACATTCTGAAATGTACACAAACAAAAGTATCTATAACATTTTAAATACAGGTATGTGAATGGACAAAGTTTTATTTATCCATAAAGTTTTAAATACAGGTATGTGAAATGACATAGTTTAATGAATAAGCACTGACTACAGTAAAACTGGACTTTTGATTACCACTCTATAAGGTCTTTTAATATTTTTCATTCAAGAAGGTAACATGAAACATAAGTTCCTATTCAGACCTTGCCATATATAGGGCAGATGATATAATGGTCATCTGTTTCTGTGGCTCACGGTTTTAAGAGGGTGTTATGTGGCCAGCACAATGACCAACCGCCTTTACTTTTTCCCAACTAATGTCAGGTACCCATTAGAGCTGGGTGGACTCAGAGGCGTCCAAGATCCTGGAATTAAAAATCCCAGTTTTCACCAGGATTTGAACCCAGGACCTTGGTTCAGAAGCCAACCACTTTACTGCGCAGCCAGCGTGGCTCCAACATGAAACATAGGTCTCCAAAAACTAGAAATTTAAGAAAGGTTCTCAAAATGTTTTATGTACATTTAACATTATGCACGCTGGAAAGAAGATACATTATTTATAAAAAAAATGTCTGCGACAAAGTGAGAGGATGTGAGATTAAAGCCTACTGTCTTCTATAGGAACAAACATGTAGCTACTTACCTTGCATAGCTAAGGCCAAGTAAACATTATTGTTGGTGCTGATACTGCTGTAGAGCTGCTGAAACACACAAACAAAAATTTCAAGGGATTACTTTAATAATGTGATCTACTTAGTAGATTATCCATTGCCTGCATATTACAAAAACTAGCTTTGCTTTATACCAGTTTCAAACCTTTGTGTTAAAACTGCATTGCTACAAACTGTTCAAAACTATAAAAAGATTCTAAGTACTGCCAAGTGAAGTTATGATACTAGAATCTGGATTTGGTTTCATAGGTGAAGAAGCAAAGTTAAAAATACTAAATAGTCATTACAATTATAGTTAACTGAGACTGTAGGCAATACATACAAAACTTTCTTTGACTCTCTTAACATTAGTAATACTAGATCTATGAAATTAGAAATTTGATTGTGTCATTTGATGTATTCCATTAACTTAGCAGACCATGATAAGAGAAACATCATTTTGTTTTATAAACACCCACACAGTTACTGAGTAAACAAAATCAGTCAGTCAAAAGAAACCATATAATAATTTAGATAAGGTATTCAAAGTTTCTTACAAAATTTTATCATCAGAATTTCAGCCAAAAATATCCCAAGAAATGTTTTGTGATATCAATATCAATTTAATTAATTTTTATTAGGCTACAAAACCATACTATTTGCAATAGTTTTTTAAAATGTATCTGTACCCAAAAAAAGAAGAAAAACATGCTCATCTTCATAAATTCAGACTTAACATATATAATCATGTATACAAAAATTGTTTTAAAATTTATTTTTTTTTAAATAAGTTTTTTTAATCATTCAAAAGATAAATCAAAGTCGTTCATTCCAAAACCTACTTGTCTGACCAAGTAGATCATGGTGATGAAAGTAACTATTATAGACTTCAACATCTGTCACTTTATAGAACTGCACAGGTGTGGCTCTATCTTAGATTTCACAAGCATATTTTGTATATTAACAACTTAATAGTAAACATAAATAAAAACATTTATGTTTAAACAATGAAAAAAAAACATTAAAAAGTCATAACTGCATAACAAAAAACAACAACAAAAAAACAAAAACAAATCTGAACATTCACCTTCGTGAGCCTTCTCGAGGCACATAGAACTGAGGAGCTAACATTAAACAAAAACAGACTAATGTAATAAGTGGATGGGAAATTACATTTTCTTGCTTTGCAAGAAATACTTTTCTAAAAAAAAATTCATTCAAGTACTTTTGTTTCTATTCATTTTTGGACAATGTATAATATAGATATTAAGAAAACCATGCAATGAAAATTGTGTACCAAACAAATTGAACATCTACGTCTAAGTAAGTTAAAACAACTGACCAGCTGGCATGTACATGCTTGGAGAACTTGAGACTTGTTGATGAATGCCAGGCATTGGTGAATGGATTATATGGTGCCCACCTTGATTTGGATTAGGGCCCATGTTAGGGGGCATCTGTGGTGGTCCTAGAATAAAAAAATTGTTTCAATTAGATATCAATGGTCAAATAGCCAACATTACCACAAATATGCAGTATATACAGATGTAAACATAAACTATAAATAACTGGTTTCTTACCTTGCATAATATTGTGCTGGGGCTGGAACTGGATACCAGCTGGATATGGTTGTGGATTCTGCTGCATAGGAGGATGCCCTTGTGGATGTGGACTAGGCATCATGACATACTGAGGTTGAGGTCCTTGCCCATGTGAGGAATTTTGGGATGTCTGTGGGTGTGCTGCAGGTGCAAATGGGTACTGAGCTGGATTACCATTAGGATAAGGATATTGAGAAACAGGATAACCTATACTAACTGTTGTCGGGTGTGCTGCTGAGATGCCTTGCTGCCCAGACACTGTGGTCCTAGGAATGGCATAGCTTAGATTCATCTGGGGGAAGTGCGCTGGCTGGGGGGTCAAAGACTGAGGGGGCACCTGCGACATGTGATGTGCCAATTGCTGCTGCATCTGTTGGGAGTTGTGCTGCTGCACTGGTGATGGTGCTGGGTTGGGAACATGTGTTGGCTGGGGTGCCTGGTTGGACAATGGGTGAGGTTGACTGTGAGCTGGCTGAGGGTGTGGTGCAAGATGAGCCGGCATAGGCTGAGCCGGGGTGGCCACTGGGAAATAAAACAAAACACATTGTGTTTAAAACTTGGGCTGTATAAGCAAATATATAAAAAATAAAAAGTATATTTAAAATTTCAATTTCACAAAAAAAAGCTTTTTTTTATTTTTCAGGAAAATGTTTTTTTTTCTAAATTTTAGTACAAACAAACTTACTAAATACAGTCTGAGGTTGGCCCTGTTGTGACCCTTGATCTATTCCAATGTGCTGTCCACCTTGAGCCAGTGCTATAGAGTTAACACCAGGGGAAAACATCCGAAACTGAAAAACAGAATTTAAAATGTAATATTTTTAAAATGTGTATTATTTTGGTTTAAATTGATATATCTATATATAGGGGATAAATACCAGGCACAAAGCCATGAAGACAAAAGGTGCTCTTTAAACTAGCCAGGTTTAAGACTCCATCAGTACTAACCGGATAACCCTGCTGTCCATTGCTTGGCATGAGTACTACAGGCTGAGTTGCTAAAAGTGGTTGTCCTGTCACATGTGACAAATCAGGTACAGTACTCAAAGTATTAAGTTGATGATTAAGTGAAACAGTAGCTATAGAAGATAAAGAATTTCATTAATAATTGTGCAGATTTAAAAGAATAAACATTTTAAAAAGAATTTTTGGGCCATGGTTATCTCAATAACTCAATTCAGAAAGGATTGCTATCCAGACAGTTTGAAACATTTTCATCAGTTCTAAGACTTCATTCACTGAATATTGTGAAGTAATCTAAGGTGCGTTTTTGCCCATGCAATCAATTATGTATCAAAGTAAAAGAAGCTTCGCATAGAACATTGAATATGTACAAAAAAACTAGCTTCAAAATAATTTGTTACTTGGTTGGCTAATTGAATTTTTTCTCAAAAAAAACAACAACACACAAGGAGAATGGTGGCAAAAGAAGGGTGTCTCAGGTTAGAATCTTGATGACTGGGAATTTGATTTCAGGATTCTTAGGATGCCCCTGAGTCCATCAAACTCTAATGAGTACAGTGTACCTGGCATTAATAGGGGAAGGTA